GTGTATAGCACAGGGGCAGCCGGCTAGACTGACTGTTGGGAAACTTGGTTATCTTCTTGCTGAGCTGAGCCTGGCCCGGTTTCTTCATTCTCTCTTTTCTCTGCGCGAGCTGGCCGGCGCCGGCCTGTGGCACGGTTGGTCTCTGTCATAGGGGAACTAGGGTTCGTCACGGCATCGGGGAATTTGGGCACCTGCAGCTGAGCACCGAGACCCTGCAAGCAGAAGACACACGGCTGAAAAATACAAAGCAATGTTTTTATCAGCAGACCTGCACAAAAGGCAGCTGGCACATGGTGCTGTGAGCTGCTTCCAAGCCCGTCTCCCATCAGTCCTGCCTCTCCTTGGGATTTGTCCCTCTCTCCTCTCTCTGCGGACTTTCTCCCAGCTTTCTCCCAGCAGTCTGAGTCGAGGTGACACAGCTGGGCCCTGTCAGAGCTGGGCCTTGGGTCCTTGGCATGCCCCTGCCAGCAGGGGTTACAGGGTGGGAGAGCTTCAGCTGTTAAGGGCTCGTTATTTGCAGCAGAAGAAAGGAGATGCTGCAGATTGACGAGCGTTTTATTGTACGTGCTGGGGTGAGACACTGGCAGCGTTGGCACTGACACCTGAAGCCTAAAAAGCAGCACAGGAAAGATGTGAGAGTTGGCTCCTGTTTACAGCCGACTTCCTGAAACATTCCCATTTGGAGAACAGGTTGCCCGTTGTACCAGCTGAACGGGTATCTCTGGGGCTCTCAGATTCTGAGGCGCCGTGCGGCACATAGCATTAGCGATAGCATTAGTCGCTGAATTAACGATAGTCAGGGTCAGTGCTGAATATGCCTAAGCAAACGTTGTTCTTCTCTCCCTTTCCTCCTCCCCTGCTTTTTTGCCTCTTGGTTCAAATGACTTTCAAGACCACAAGAGCTTTTCTGCCAGCCATGATGAACAACAACCACGGTCACATTGTCACGGTGGCTTCGGCAGCAGGTCATTTTGTGACTTCGTTCATGGTGGCTTATTGGTAAGTGATTTTAAAACCAGCTCTCTCCACTTTTTTAATTTTAATTGCGTCTTCTCCATCAGCAAGCACAGAGTAGCCGGAAGAATCCTCCCGGTGAATGCGGTATGTCCAAAGGACGGTGGGAAGGAGGACAAAAGCACAACAGCCAGCACTTAAGGGTGCCTGGAGGTTCCCGCCCATTTGCTTATTAGCTCTGACTCAATCAGGAGCAATGCTTGTGTGAAGGAACAGTGATGTGACACATCAACTAATGAAAGCTTCTCCTTTTCTCTCTTCCTCACCGATCCAGACTTTTGCTTAGCAAAAAAGGTATCCTCTTCCCTTCTCATTCTTAGAAAGTAGCACTCCTGTGCCGTGTTGCAGTGCTGTCACGTAAACCCCTACTGAGTAGCTTTTGATGCTTCTACCTTTGTGGCAGTGACTGTAGTGAATAGAAATTCTTCTGCCATCACGAGATAAAATTGGGTTTTGACTGTAAAATTACCTTTCAGAAGGTAAAACGTGATAATACTTACTGTGTTGTGAGCAACTGAGAGCTTGATGCATTGCCTGTTTATACTAGCAGCACTTGAATCACGGTGCATGAACAGAAGAACTGTTAGACTGCATGTTGTCCTTCTGCGTCAGATCTAGCCCTCTCTAACAGCAGCTCCAGGCGGAGCAGTCTTCTCCTGGGAATGCTCCATCTTAGAGAGTCGCTCACTGCTGGCAACATGTGAACTCCCAAGCCAGGGATTTTACTGGCATTACACCGTCCAAATCAATAGCAGTCAATAAACTCTCTGGTTCTACTTTCTTTGGCGTTGATTTAGACTGTTGGCCTGCACCAATTTCTGTGGCAGTATGTTCCTCAACTTTTGCAGGCATAATGCTTCTCTGTTTCAAAACTCACACGCAAATGTCACGAGACACTCCGGTGCGGTACGAGGCACAGTAGAGGGTTGTTCTCCATTTCTACTCTGCCCAGCCTTCTTAATGTCAGAGATTCAGGCTGCATTCCTTCTAAGAGTCTTCTCACATGGGAGAAACGGCAAGTCCATTGATTGTTGCATATTAGTTGTCATTTTCTAACAATCCCTGACATTCGTCTGTCTG